AATAATATTATTTTTCTATGATTGTCACCCATTTGTCATCATCGGTATTTTTAGGTTATCGGATTGGTTTGTCCTAATAAAAATTATTTATTTTATTAATTATGATGAGAAACAAAGTATTAAGTGCCTATTATATCGTTTATCACATGTTAATTAATGATTTTAAAGGTTTTCAGGCCATTCTTTCTCACAGCAGCAGCCGTAACAGTAGCTGAAGAAGGAAAAAAAGGTATGGCACCACAAAACTGTGTATGCAGAAGATCCGAATTGCCCATTTATTCAAACACAGTAGCTGTTAGTACAGCAAGTATTCAAGATCACTGCCCACCAGAACCTACATTTGTTGAAGACATTATTAGAACAATTCGCCAACACCTTGTTAGTGGATACAGTACATTTGAGGAGGTAAAGCTTAAAGGAGAAAGTATGGTTAATTCGACAGTATCAAGGGCTGATGGTAAGTAAATCAAAAATCTTTAAATGTATTTATTTTATTGTGTAATTTATAGAAGTTATTCAGTTTCTGCAAAAAGAAGACAACACCTTTCCCCGATATGGTGCAATAGCTATAGGAGGCCTTGCTGGATTTATATTAGCAATTAGAGGCAGATTATTTAAGAAGACATTGTATTCTTTATTAGGTGCTGGAACTGTTGCTTCTGTATGTTATCCTAACGAGGCTAGATATTATGCACAAATTGGCCTTGCAGAAGCCCGAAAGTATGCAACTATTGCTTATAATTTCGCCTATGGAGGTAATTGCTCAGTTAAGTTATTTAAAAGAGACTTAAATAATATGCATTGCAGTAAAAAAGGGTGAACCAATACATGAACTTCCTTCATTGCCAAAATTACCTAATAGTTTTTCAGAGGCTATAGACATGGCAAGTAATTTAGGAAAAAAATCTACTAAATCATCTCCTGTTGTAGGTGAAGTATTTGAAAAAGATAAAGAGGTGAGTGATGGTTTGGATAGTGAAGTGTGCCAATGTCTGTTGGAAGAATATGCTTTAGAAGAAGAAGCATTTGCTCTTGATGAAAACACTGCATGCACCAATATTGAAACTTAAGTTAGCTTGCCTATTTCCATCCTATCCCCCGTAACCCAACCCAATCCCTTGTGGCGTTTGCATGCTTCGAAAGTAATAAATCAAGTTTTAATATAAGACCTTTTTCAGATAATTGTAGTGAATTTGACCCAGGCTAAATTGAACTTTTATATCTTTAACCTGGGGTTCACTCACCATACTTACCTTAAGTAGCCTGTTTGTGGATTTACAACTTTGCTTATGATCCATTTTTACATTTCAGGTTGCAAAGTAAGTCACTGCTTCACCAATTTCAATAGATGATAATTTATTGTAAATGTACATAAAATAGTGTCTAAATAATAAAATTGGTTTTATCATTTTTCAGTTTTTGTTATTTGGTATTTGCAAATAAAACCAATCTTAGATTTCAGTTTAATTCTAAAATTAAAATTTACGAAAATAATAACAAAAATATTATATACATTAGAACACTTGTTTATATAATATTATAATACTTATGTTAGTATCGATCCAGTAACTTTAAAAATCTACTTTTCTAAAAATTTATATAACGTTATTTGCCTTCTGGGAGTGGGAAATTTTTTTGAAATGTGACTAATACTGTTCCTGGTCGGATATTTGACATAATTTAACTCTTCATGTAACTTTCTTGCCAATTTGAAGTCTTCCTCTTCTTGAAGCTTCCTTTTAGTTGATTCGCTCCTTAAACATTTTGCTCCTATTACAAGTTCTATGTTATTTAAAGAAATTCCATTATTTCTATCACCTATTTTTTCTGCATTTTCGCTCTTATGTTCTCCATTTCTATAAGAACTATTTTTATCATCAAAAAGTGATTTTGATTTTAAGTTGTCATCCTTAAGTGACTTATTGTTACTGTTGAAATTATCAAATATGGTACTTAAGTTTTTCACTCCGTTTCTTCCTTTCAAGGAAAACTTATAATTCTTTTCGAAGCCTAAAAATGGAGAACCAAAACTTCTATCAAATTCACAGTCCAATCTTTTTTTATCCTGTTCGTTCTCTTCTTCCCCAAATGATTCATTGCATTTATTCCCAGTTTTCCTAGGAGAGGTTTTAATGTTTTTCAATAGAGACTTTCTCTTTTCTGGTTTCTTGTACAATTTTATAGGAACAGAACCACTATTTATTTTTGTCATACTTCTTGTCTGTCTTAAATTGAGCTGTATTCGAGCTTTTTTCCCTGAAGGTGCACTATCTTTGTTATCCTGAGATTCTTCCTTCTCACAACTACTGTTACTTCTCTTTCTACTCATAAAACCAGTTTTGAGACTAGGTGACAATGCTAATGTTGGAGAGTTGCATAATCTCACAAAAGGTGATAACAGCGCAGAGTGATTAAATGCTACATGTCCACATGGTGCCCTAAAATAAATTAATAAATTTTAGAAAAGAAGAACCAACATGTACAGTAAATTAAAACTAAATATGTAATATTCGTTTATTTATAACCAAATATTAAATACAATTAATATAACGTTACCTTAAAGTACTGGATGATGATAAAGCAGCAACTGCAGGAACTCGAAGTATTTTAATTGTTTTAGAAGGCGGAATTTTTTTCTGTTCAATAGGTTTGAAATATATACACTCACAAGTTATTGCATCATTTGAATCAAGGCTCTGTCTCTCACTGGCAACTTTATTTAGCTTATAAAAAGTGATACTGTCATTGTTTTTTATCAGACTAGCAGACCTATCTTGTAAAAGTACTTGTGTAGTAAAATCTTTTTTTCTATAATTATCACATTTTTCATCTGGTATTGGTTTTAATGAGACAGAGAGCTGTTTATTGGCCATATTCCTCAAAAATGTATCCAGAGGACCTCTTTTTTTGAAACTCCTCTCTGAATGTTTTGAAGTGGAAGGTCCAGGATCAAAACAAAGCTCTTCTGCTAATTGTTTAGCTACCTGTTCATCATTTTTTAATTTTTCTTCAATAATTGACTTTTCTAACTCCTCTTCTTCTTTTAATTTTCTTATCAAAAGTTCACTAGCTCTTGTTTCCTCCTCTTGTCGTTAGTGGATACAGTACATTTGAGGAGGTAAAGCTTAAAGGAGAAAGTATGGTTAATTCGACAGTATCAAGGGCTGATGGTAAACTTGAAGTGTGAAGTCGACATTTTTTTGTAAATTGTAACTTCATTTGTTACTTATTTATTATATTAAAATTATTTACAATAAAAAAAATGTATATTACTGTGACACCTCAAAAAATATNTATTTTCTTTTTTTGAAGCTCTTAACCAAGAGCCAACTCGTACTCGACAAAGTGGGCAAACCAAATTTGTATTAGCCATGGTACTATTAAAGCAAGCAGAACAGAACCCATGATTACAGGGAAGGGTCACCGGTTCGATTAGAATACCTCTACATATAGGACACAAAACGTCATTTAATGATAAATTATTGTAATTATTATTTTTTACGATATTTTGCTTTTTTATAGCTCTTTTTGGAACCATCTTAAAATAATTGTTATTTACATTTGACGTTTAAAGTCGGTCATAGATTACAGACCTTGTCTATGATTAGAGACAGATTACAGATATATAAAACTACTACATATATCTTATCTATGGTTTTGGCCATTTCCATAGACAATATGTAAAACATAGACAAATATTAATGGACGTGCCTTAGCCGTATGTCCTTGTCATGCCCTTGTAATAATTTCTTGACTCGCAAAGTGAGGGAAATGGCGTATATTTTCGGACTAGTGCTATCTCTTTCATGACACACTACGTACTATCGTAACAGAATCGTCCGAAACTTCGTTCCATCTCTGTTTTTGTTGTACCACAATTCTGACTATAGATAATATTCTGATCGCTAAGGCATGTCCATTTGTAAACGTCGATGATGTAAAATAGACGAGGGAAATTTTGATAAAAAAATAAAATTGCCTTCATGTAATAAATGTGTAATGCATATGTCCCATAGATAATTGCACATTACTATCTATGGTGCAGTAAGTATGCGTAGGCCCGTAGGCCGTTAATGTCATCTTAATTTATTTACAAACAAAGTTATACAAATTACTATTAATATTTAATATCAGTATATTGCGTTGTAGTTTTGTTATTCTCATTATTACTAACTTATACTAAGAATAATACGATTTTGGTCACTTAACTCGTGCAACATAACTGAAGAAATACAAAATGAATACAAACACCCCAAATAACCTCAAAGTTGACGTACTGCATTCTTTTTTTAGTGCGGGCCCTGTTAGTGTTGATGAAATCGAAATAAATTTGTATTTGGGGAATCTTTCAGCAGCAACAGACATAAATAATCTCAAAAGATTGAATATAAATCGTATTTTGTCAATAGACAGTTGTCCATTGCCTCGAAAAATTTTGGAATTAAAATCTATCACAAACATGTTTATTCAACTGTCGGATTTACCAAAGGAAGATCTCTTAAGTCGTTTAGATGATACCTATGCGTTTATATGTGAAGGATTACAGAGTGGAGCAGTTCTGGTACATTGTTTTTATGGAGTTTCTCGCAGTGCAACTGTGGTTATAGCTTATTTAATGAAAAAGTACCAATTGGCATATGGAGAGGCATTTGAAAAAGTAAAAATGAAGCGCTCTATTGTTTTCCCAAACCAAGGATTTATTTCTCAACTAATGTTGTATAAAGATATGGGATATAAAGTGGATAAAGAGCATCAAAAGTACAAGGTTTATCGCCTTAGAATGGCAGCAGAGAAAGTAAAAAAGGTAAAAATTCTCCCACAGGACTTCTTTGACCTGATAAAACCTGATCCTGGTTTGACCAGGATTCAACCTGAGCCAAATGTGTACCAATGCAAGAAGTGCCGTAGAATAATTGCCTCAGCTTCAAATTTGCTTAAACATCCAAGTAAGGAATCTAAAGGAAGCTTTTGCACAAAAACATACTTTTTGGAACCCTTGTCATGGATGCAGGGTATTACTCAAACAACACAAGGCAAACTGCATTGTCCAAAGTGTGGAACTAAATTAGGATCATTTAGCTGGATTATGGGGTGTCAGTGTCCCTGTGGATGCCAGGTTGCACCAGCGTTTTATCTCACTCCTTCTAAGATTGACTGGACCGACGTTGTAAAAAATATAGAAGTAACAATTTAAGACAATATTATCTGCAAATAAATTCTTAATTATTCATTAATATTAGGATTTTTCTGTGATGAATGTTAAATTATTACGTTATTAATCTTCTTAACATTGTTCAATAAGTACATGTTCTTTTAATTAAATGAATTAGGGGCCAGTTGTGTAAATAGCTATTCTACACTGTGTAGTATTGTAATATATCTCCTGCCTATTATGATACTGATGTTACTTTGCCTTTTCATTCTAACGTAAGTTCCTCATGTACCTGTTAGAAAAGAACACAGTTTTTATTAATCTTTTCTTATTGTTAGGTGAAATATAATTTCTAGTCTTAGTATTTACCTAACTTATTAAAATATGCAATAATAAAAAGTATTAAAAATAGTATTTCTTTACTTTTATTTAACATTATAAAAAATAATGGACGTTATCTGAAGGACCGTAAAATAAAAAACTGAAATATTAATTATCGAAATTGCTATTCACAATCATTTAAAAGCATCATAAGGTTGATGTAAAAATTTCTTACACTAAATTAGTTGAGTGACGTGAAGAGCGACACAGAATGAAGCACTACTTAATACACAATCGCATTATACGTGGAATAGCAAAGTTAAAGTAAGAAGACGGTACGGTTGGCAGAACTCGTGTCTACAACAAATGGAAAGTACTGGGCGATGATCGTCATGATTTAACATATCCTTGTTTATTTGGAAAAGATATTTTATATTAGCATGTTTGCATTACATAATGCATATTCAATCAATTGTTGGTTTGACATAATTATAATTTAAAGAAATACATACATCAATTAGCATCAAATACAGAAAAACGAAAAAGCTTCATAAATAAAATAACGAGTTATCAACTGAGAAGAACCGAGGATC